TCTCCCCCCCCCCCCCCCCCCCCCCCGCAAAAAAAAAACCTCCGCAAGTCCACCAAGCCACCCAGCCCCCTTCCACCCAAGCCCCCACCGTCCTATCCCAATCAGCTGTCCCGACCATTGTCGCATGAATTGACGATGCGACGTAATTGTGACGTTTGTTTACGCCCGCTTGGGCCAAACTCTGAAATTGGCACTGTCCCCTCGTAATTTCCATGTTGCAGACTTTTGACGGTTGCGTTTGAACGTTATGTGCGAGTTACTTTGTTTATTTTACAAATTTTGACTGTACAAAAGTGTGTAGCACGCGCGTTGTGACATCTCACTGAAATATATTCAATATTTTGCGTGGATGCTGTCATCGATCAAGTGTTCTCTTTCCTTGCTAATCTAATTGGCCAAATCGAAAATCAAATACTTTGGTTTAATTATTGTTAACCGTGAATAAAAGGTTGGCATTTTATTTAGCGGAAAGTTCGATTGTAATTTTAAATTTAATTTTATTTATTTAATATACCAAAGCTTATTTATTTAACATTAATGCTTTTTTTTTTTTTTTATAACAATTAATAATTTTATTTTATTTTTTTTCAAAAACAAGTTTTTTAAACCGTTGTTGTTAAGGAGCTGACACAATTGCACAATTCAGATCCTCCTAATTTTATATTTACATTTAACTGACGATTGATAAATTATTTTATCGGTTAATTCCGAAAGGAACATTTTTCGTAATTGGTGAATAAATAAATTTATATTAAACGAAAACAAAAGTATACAAATTGCGAATTAATGTGATTATGAATGCGCGCGCGCATTTGTTCAAACGAACGAAAGAGGCCGAAATTTTGGAACGAAATTCAGAGCTTCGACGAAAATGACCTGTTCTTCTCAAAATCATGTAATTGTGCCTTAAATTCATTTGTTGTTATTACTTCTTGTATAAATTTTCTATAAATTCGTCCTACTCCCGAATGAGTGGAAAAAAAAAAAAAAAAAAAAAAAAATATTGAAAATTGTAAATCATATTATGCTAAATTAAAATAATTGTGAATATTATATTAAAGGTAGTAAACTGGTTGCGTTTTTAAAGTTTATGTATGTAATAAATTCGAATTTTAATCTATATGTACTTGAATTCAACAAATCTCTAGTAATTGCATTCAGGATGGCAGGTACTAATTTTAAAATAAAACTCTTTATTAAATTAAAAACCACTTATTTACAACTTTTATCGACGTATATATGTATATACAGTCATTTCTTAAATCAATGCATTATCGTATCGTTTATAATTATCATTATCGTTCATTATAATTAATTTATCATCATCATCATCATCATCATCATCATCATCATCATCATCATTATCATCATCATTATTATTATTTGTTATTGTTGTTATTATTATTAATCTTATAAATATATAGTAAGGATTGAATTAACGTTAAATAGAATGTGTTTGTGCTATATTATTGTTGACATCTACTAACTTATTCGTACAAATCTCATATTGCGAGAAATTCAGGCAGCAAATACTTACACATAAAATTTCAAATAATAAATATTATTTGAATAATAGAAATTACTTTTACCATTACAATAGATTTACCGATATTATTATTAAATTATTTTATCGTAATTTATTAACATGCATTATGCTATATTAGAGAACTTTATTAAAAAACAAAATAAACAATAATGTATGACACAATATATTACTAAATATATCTGTATATGTATATATATATTAACGTAGACATAAGTTTTTAATCAGGAAACTGTATTTTATGCTCCTTATATATCAACAATTTATATTCACAATTTAAAGAATCGTACATTCGGACATTGCTCTAAATAAAGAATTATTCGTACCTCTGTTATATAGCGAGTAAACGTTGTTAATGATAATTGGATAACATAAAGCGTGAGGATAGTTTTTCGAAAACTGCCATACCGCTTCAAACTATCTAAACGCAGTCGCCATTAAATTTAAATGTCTAGCCAGGCTTCGCAAACACACCAACCTTCCACCGTTGCTTCTACTTCCATAAATCATGCGTGAGGTTGCCGGCCAAGAGCCAAGTGACAATCGTGACAAGAAAACTCGGGCGGCTTCAACTTTGTCAGGAACTGCGCTTATCGGCTCCCGGAGTTACGCGAACAAATTGAGATGAGCGAGGGTACGCAGCGCTCAAAGCCCGCTCGGATCGGTCTCGCCTCGCGTACTAATTTCATCGACACCTTGAAAAAGGAAAAGCCTCGGCGGCCGAGCCGCGACGCCATAGAAAAGCCCGACACGAAGGCACGCGCTCGCGTAGGAGGAAGCGAGAGAGCGTGGCGAGGTCGCTGACGCGTGTCCAACGTCGCAAGAGCCCGGATGAGTGGTACGAAAATTAACGATCCTGCACCCGGAGGACCCATTCTGATGGGGCTTGATACCGTGAACGCTTGTTCTCGATAAATTCCTGAACTACATCGGATTGGAGAATAAACATCGCAATATTCGGAGAGCGGGAGGAAGGTATCCATCAAACGACCTTGGGCTTTGCGAGCGCCGTGGCTCGAGACGTACTTTCTTGTCGTTGACTCACATTTAACGAGTCCATTTACCTATCGTATCGCCTTAATTGCCAGTTATTTATTAATTCGATTTCTAATGCGAAAGTCCCAAGGGCCTATCTCGCTGCTCTATTGCGGCTACCGCCTCTCCAAGTTGAGGATGTTGTGTAAACTCTCCGTTATTCCTTCCACAATAAATGATTACGGACAATAGAGATGCTACCATCTACACACACGCGCGCGCACACACCAGCACAACGCAAACAAACAAACAAAATAGTACTTTTAAATTCAATGATTTGAAAATGGTTTACCTTTTCCTTATTACGTAAATTTACATCATTGTGCGTGAAAGGCTGTCGTAATATCTATTTGTACCAATAGACCGTGAAATTTATATCTCTTGCACAGTTATTAACTATTCATATTTAACGATATAAAAAAACTTTTTTTACTTTATTAGATATAGTGGCATTTAACCAGTTGATAATAACATTTTAAAAATAGAATCATTCTACGTGCACATATTGACAATTTATTATTTCATCTTTTTATAAATCCTTAAAAATTAATATTTTCGTTCAAAGACCTTTTTAATTTATTAAGGAGTATAAGCAATTGATTAAATATAGTGAAGGATACCATGTCAATATTTCGTTTTCCTTACGTGATTGCCAAATCGGAAATATATAAAAGAAATTATTTTCATCCCTATATGTCGCTCAAACACTTTATTTTTTCGAATTATTTGCAATAAAAATATTAAATAAATCATTTATTATTAATATTAGTTGATAGAATCGCTCAAATTTATAGGTTATAGTAACAGGATGGAATTGCTCTGTGGATCATCAGTATATAAGTCCTTGATGAATCTAGAATAGAAATTGTATGTTCGTCTGTTAAACATACACCTACAATTTTTCTTTATTTCTCATTGGCCGTAAATATATTCAGTTTATACATTAAATTATTATATTCTACAGACATTAAAGTATCACAAAAATAAATACTTTTTACCTATTAAGTATCTAATTAATACCTTATGCTAATTAAAAAAAAATTTTCGTGCAAAAAATTCAAGGTAAGTTAATGATTTTCTAATTATATTAAAAATATTTAAGTATTAATTCAAAAGATGGGATAAAATATTTTGACAATAATAATTTTTTTTATCGCACTTCTAATGTGAATTCCTTATTGTTCATTTATTATTTTTATACATTCATTAGCTTTGCATAAATATAATAGCAGATGAAAAATATTATGAATTATGTTTCACGTGTTTTGGCAATATAGAAAAAATATATTCTAAATTTTGCTCGGGTGGAAATAATTAATAATATTAAAAAATTATATGTGTTTACTGATCATTTATTTATAACACTTCATTCGTAATACTTATAAAGCTATTTGCTTAATTAATGTAACAATTGCATATTATGACAGAAACGGATGTAAATTTTTTTCCAAGATGTAAAAATAACTAATATATATTAATAAAAATATTTATAAATTTATTTCGGTACATTTGATAATATAATTTTTTAATGCACGATTAATAATATGTATATATATATATATATATATATATATTGTGGTATAAATTAAATAAATTTTAATTTTTAAAAATAAGAATTTTTCTTTTTATTATCAAACTGTTAGTTAAAAGTCAAAGTACTTTTAAGCAGATGCCAATTGTAGTCCAAATTTCTAAAAGATAATTAATTAGTTTGTCGCGTATTCTTTAGTAATATGGGATTCGATAAATCAATTTTCTGTATAATAAGGGGGATGTAATAAACGTCTCGCATGTGTTGTCAAAATAATTAACGTAAATCGTGGAAAAAAATTTCTGTATATCCACACAATTGTTGCTATGCTTTCCAATTGATAATTAAACGTTTCGTTTCTTGGTAATTTACTTCAATCGTACTAATTCGTGTATTGCAACTGATTATTTGTTATATATTTGCGTTTAAATCTATTAATCTTTCCCATTCGTTATGCCAGTATAGAAAATGAAAACTTGATAATCGTTGTTGGCATTAATTGCGTTTGCATTATTGCCAATGAAACATAATTTAGTAATTAATTATTTATTTACATTATTTTTAATAAGAGTATGGATGGATATAATAGCGACTGAAAACAGTAAGATGATAAGGTTAATCATGATAAAAATCCTAAATAAATATAATAGTAAAAAAAAAATGTTCTTCATGCTAATTTGCTATGGATGAAGTAATTTTAATGAAATAAAATAATTGCAATATTAGAATAGATTGAAAGAAATTTTGAATTTCTTAATAACGACATTAAACGTCTTTATGATGATATATACTATTAGTTGATGAAAATGCCAGAATTTTCTCAACAAATCATGAAATATTTTGAGCAAACTAAATCCAAATTTGCTAAGATTTTTCAAATTTATCAAATATCAATAGATTAGATTAAAAAATGTAATATGACAGGTATAAATACCTAATCGTGTATATTTAAATTTTTGATATTACAACACATCACTACATTTGACATTAAATAAATTAATATTTCATAAATAACTTAAAAGCTTGCTTATCTTGAGTGAATAATTGTGAATAAAGAACATTATGAACATTATAATTTATACATAAATGTAATTATAATTCTTAATATTCTTTTTAGAAATTTTTGTTATTTTAATTAATGATATTTTACATTTGCTACCGTCAACATTTTATCCGGAGTAAAATCGATTATGAAACATATAAGCTATTTTTATCCACAACAGCCACATTTATAAAAATAAATGATGATTAATTATTTATTCCAATTACAAATTACATTTTTAATATCAATCGGGTGAATAATATTTAATTTATACTTTAAGCAAATATTCAGCAAACTAATTTATACGTTTGTAATAATGTTAAACATTTTATATATTTATTTCTTATATTCTCACATTTTTATTCGTTTAGCTTTAGTGGTAATATAATATAATTATTGAGTATTAAATTCTTTTGTTAATTCACCGTATTTCACATTCCGCGACGATCATAAGTAGACGATAAACCGATGTTGATGTAATTATAATAAGCATTGTATATAAATAGACTATTTTCTTTCCATCCCAAAACTAGTTTGCGGTTTAATTAATAATATGACCTGCCAATGTTTCAATGCTTAAATAACTAAATAACGGCGTAAAATAACATCTAGCGAATTTCTAAGAGCTTTGAATATTCTACGATAAGATTGTACTCTAAAACAAATTGTAATAATTAGAATAAATTTTGATGTCGACGTATAATAAATTAGGGATGAAATATATAATAACAACTGGCACACGTAGATTATAGTCGGCCGATTTTGTAAATTTTGAGTGATTGGTTGATGGCAGCATCGTAATGCATATTATTAGAAACAGTAATTCGGCTTAAAAAAATGTCGGCAAAAAGCATATAGCACAAATAGTTAATAGCGCACGCGTCATTAATTGCACAATATTGGCATTCTTAATCAGATTTCGATAAGCCATGAAAGGGGATAAAATGGGCTTCCGGGCTGCAAGAGCGACATCACAAGGGAAAATAATGTTACTGAGTTTTTCACAGGCAATTAAAGGTAAGAAAACAAGGAGTTTAAGGCAGTTTAAGGCAAAAAATCTAGGTGCAATTAGGCCGCTGGAACTCTTATAGCGCGAGTAGGGCTATTAGGGCCCCTCTTATCATATGGATCGCGCGCACGCGAGTGGCCAATCGGTATGGCAATCACGAACGCGATTGATAATGAACGCGTAGAGTCGATCCATTATGTTGTGGCGTAAGCGCAGGTTTGCCCCCATCATCGAGGAGAAATCCGAGAAACTCAGTGGCACGTGTTTGTTCGAGTAATATTTCTTTGCTGCTCTCGATTGCTCATCGCTCGTTATCTCACAACTTTTGACCAAGAAGTAGTTTGTGCACCAACGATTTCTGTAATCGGCGATGCGCTGTGATTTTATGTGCTGTAAGAAGCAGCAGCAATCCGAGTGAGGTTTACATTAATTGCTTCCGTTACATCCTTCCGTGCCATATCTTTCTTCTTACGAGTAATGGCTATTTCATTCGACGATATTAATCGATTTTCATTGATAATTTCTGGGATCGTTCGCTATTTTTTTTTATTTTTTTTTTTATTTTTGTTTTTTTTTTTGCTCGTTATCCTTATAAACGTCATTTTCGAAATATCTTATGCCTAATATGTATTATCTGCTCGTTAACTAATCTTTCGTGAGTTTCCGGCCATTATTTGAAACTCAATCATCGTACCGAAAGACCATTGGCAAAACTATGCTGGCAAATTGCAATGGTTTTTCATTGTCAAAGAAATTTCGATCAATGATATATCGAATTTATAAACTACAAATGTCGAGCTTTCCCCGTACTCGCCAACTTCTGCTAATTCTCTTTTAAATAGCATCGACAATTGTTATTGGTTTTTTTCTTCTTTTTTTTTTTTTTAAAGGGAACAAATTTTTAAAGAGTAATCACCGTAAAGATTGATCATTACGAGAGATAATTATCGAGAATGTCTAACTATAAGAACCATAAGCGATTCGTGACTAAGTACAATTGTATAGTCGACTACAATGTTAATTCTTCAAAAGATCGGATAAAGTTATGCGGATCCTCGTGGCCTCGCGATCCACGATACAAGACTGTAAAGTAGAAAGCTCTTGGTAATATCCGCAAAAGCTTGCGTTACACGAACGTAAATGAAACTGGGCCACGGAACTTTCGACCTCCAAAACAATTAGATGACTCGG